TGCTCCTGGCCCCTCTGAAGAGCCCTACATTGGCCCAAGGTCCCTTGGGCAAACCACTGTGTCTCTAGAGCTCCAGTTCTCCATCGATGAAGCAAATCGCAGTAGCACTTCGAAAACCTCTTTGCTTGAGATCTAGAATAAGAATACATATAACTTGGAGCCCCTGTACAGGTAACATGAAACAATGCCGACTCTTACCCAGAAACTCCTGTGTTTTTAGGTGTGTTTACTTATTGCTGGTGTTTGACCCAGTAAGTTGATATTATGATCCACCATTAGGTCATAACAAGCAATTTGGAAATTAAAAACACTAACACAGCAGCTCACCAGGTCTGTGCTCTGGGTGAATCTGCTGTGCCATAATCTCAAGTTTAGCCCTTCAACCTTGTCTCCCTGACGACCCCATCACACGCCCTCCCCAGCACACACACACACAAGTCTGGAACCAGGAGAGAGGACCAGTCACAGCCCCGTGTTGCCTCTGTGGAGAGGATGCCTTCCCCCGGAATCCTCAGGAGACAGAAATGAGGGGTGGCCTTCTGCTGGAGACGAGAGACCCTACCACCATAAGACATGACAGAGCTCCCTGTTGCCCTCAGAACACTGCTTCATTCCCCTCCAGCCCAGCTGCCCTCCTGGACCCCATCCGTCATAAGCCATTTGTTCCTAATTGTGGAGATCCCACTAATGACTTCTGAATGGGCGATGGGGGAGGAGAGCTCAGCTTCATTAGCAAGACTCAGGTCTTAGGCATGAGGGGGAGTGGGAGGAGAGGGCTAGGAGAGTTTGGTTAGCAGTTCCCTCTGGCTAGTACTGGACAAATGACCAGGAGCTGTCTGGGAATGTGAAAGGTTAATAACAGTAACAGTAGCTAATGCCCAACAGGACCCCTGCTGCCAGTTACTGCTGAGTCCCCCGCGGGCCCTGTCTGAGGGCCCATCACAGTGGCCCTGTCTGCTAAGTACAGGCTGACTCCTATTTTGCAGAGGAAGAAAGGCTCAAAGAGGTAAAGTGACCCACCGAGGATCATTAGTATGTGGCATTAGTATGTGGTGAAGGCAGAGTTTGGATCCTGTTCTTACAGAACACTAAACCTTATCGCCCAGGCTCCTGATCTTGCACTTGGTTTTCAGTCCATGGGGTAGGAGGCGGAGGAAATTGAGGTTTAAGAGGTCAAGTGAGTCCCCGTTTCCCTCTTCCCTGAATTCCTTCTCTGTCCCCCCCCCCCCAGTTTTCTGTGACAACTTCTCCCTGGAGGGAAAAATTCTTAATTACCTTTTCCCACCCAAGGCTACATGTGGGTACCTCAGGGAAGGGAAACTGAGCCCAACTTTCTCCTAAAGAGGCCTTTCTTGGTCTAGTTTCCCCAGCTCAACCAGCTTCATCTCCCTTCATACCCAGATGGCTGGATGCACGCAAGCCCTGGGGAAGGCGAGTCGCGGGCTTTACTCGCCCATGCATGAGAAGCAGGGTACAGGGGGACTGGGCAGGGTACAGGGCAGACCCAGTATCTGGACGCTACCCCTGGCAGTGGACCTTCAGCCTCAGTTTCCTTATCTATAAGACGGAGACAGAGACTCCGGCCTTGCCTAGCCCGAGATCACAAAGCCTCAACTAAACGTGCATAGATGTGTTTTGAAAGCTGCACAGGCGCCCCCAGCCTGTGCCGGCCTCCCACATTCGGCCTTGATAACACGAATTTCACAGCGTGTTTGCCAGCACCAGCAACAGGGCGGGGCCACAGAGGATACACAACGGTGATGTCTTCACGGAGGTTACCACCTGGTGGCCAGCATCAGGGGAAGGGGGGCTGGAGCTGTCAGGGTTCCCACGCCTCTGGGGCAGCGGCCCAGTGATGTGTCAGGGCCTGGAGCCAGCAGGCAGTGTAGACTCTGACAGCCGGTGTGAGAGCGGCAGGGCTCTGCAAAGGCGCACACCTGCTGGGACATCCTGGGCCAGAGGGCGCCCACCTTGCCCTTACCCAGGCGAAAGGGGTCAGAGGGCAGGGAGGGTGGGGCAGTGACATGTTCAGGCCATCTGGAAGGGGAGCCTGGACCAGAACCCAGGGTCTGACCATTATTCCCATCCCCGGCAACAAGAAAATTACACGAAATGATTGTGCTGTCCACTGTGGCCTGCCTATCCCCAGGCACAGGCTCTGTGCAAGGCAGGTGACCCAGATGAGTGAAGAAGGGCAGGAAAGAGTAAGGGAGGGCTCTGGGGAGCATCATATCCTCCTGGCCTCTCTTGGTCATACCCCAATGCAGCCCCCACTGCAACTCGGTTTTCTGCCCCTCGGAATGATTTTGAGGGCCCTGATCCCACTGGGCCATACACTTCACAGAAATGTAACGGTATGTGTGACAGACAGCAAAACATGGAAACTATTTAGTGGTTAGTTTTGAAAGGTGGCCCATACGGTACTATAATAGATACATGGCCAGTATATATGCTGTGTGGGGTCGGAGTCTCCACCTGGGACACCCGTCATCCTCCTCGTCCACCCAGCCAACTCCATTCGGCGCCCCCTCCCCTGGGAGGTCTTCCCAGACTTCACGACGAAAATGGCCTTGTGTGAGCTCTAGGGCCTGGTGCCTCTAGGGCCTGCTCTGTCGGCTTAGCGCCAAAGCCAGGAGCTCCGGCGAGGGCCGCGGTCTGTTTTTCTGTGCGTCCCCAGCATTACCTGCACATAGCAGGCACTCAGCAGACGTGAGCCAGGAAGGGGTGAGTGGTGGGGAGCCGGGAGCCCGAGCAGGCACAGCCTTGGCCAGGCCTTGGGACTGACCTGGCTGAAGGGGTAGCCCTGGGAGAGGCCAGGTGGAAAGGCCAGAGTGAGAGGAGGGGTGGGAGGGGAGGCAAGGGTCTGTCATAGGGGGTCTCCCAGGAATGAGAATGCAAGGCCATGTTACTTTTTTCCCTGTAAATCTTGTAATTTCATGCTCCAGGGGACCACAAAGTAAGAAAGTCTATTGGGAGTGAATTCAACTCCTGGGCCGCTTCCCCCCTCGAGGAGACCGCGGGGGCTTTCCCCCTGCTGCTTCCCTCTCCACACCAGGGATCTGGGGTACTTCATCACTGTACTCCGGGTCTTCCGGGCTGACTACCTCTGAGCCATCCTCTTACTGCCTGACCTCTGACCTCTTCTTCCTCACCCTACCTCTACCATTGAAGGACAAAGAGCCTTTGCCCAGCCCATGTCATTAGGCCTGGAGGGGGTCACTAACCAGGATAAATAGAAGTGTAGACCCCTTCCTGGGACCGTTTCCCACCTCCCTCTTCTCCTCACCCCAGCCCCTTCCCACAGCCACTCAGAATGGTCTGACTCAGAAAGGTCAGATTTCCACTTTCTGAAGTGAATCTCATAGAGAAGAAATCCCAGGCCATCGTCCGGCTGTGAGGTCCAGGAGAAGGGGGGCCTCCTGGCGGGGAGCAGGCTAATCTGAAGTCCAGGTTTGCTGTGGGACACGTTCCCATAGATACACCAGTGTGTATTTGGTTACCCTCCTAAGGTAAACCAGCTTTCAGCCTCGAGGGAGGCTTAGTGGTCAGCGAGAGTGATGAGAGGGCTGCAGAGGGCGTGAGTGTGTGCTCGGTACACAGCGGGCACTCGCAAGTGTTTGCTGAGTGGCGAGCGTGTGCGAGGGCCGAGGCTCTGCTTGGCAGCACTTGGGGCGGAGAGGGGGGAAGACACCATGTGGACAGATGTGAGGAGCCAGAGTAGACACATGTCCCCACGTAGGTGCGTTGGGCACAGGGCTGTTTTGCGGGGGAGGCTGAAGGAGACAAAAGAGAAAACTGTTGAGACTCACAAGAAGGGAGAGTGGGCCCTAGGGAATGTCGCTAAGTGTCAGGCTTTGGTCCTCATCCCCAGGTATTTCCGAGATGGGCCATGCCCCAGTTTTGTAGTTCAGGAGATGGAAGCACAGCCAGAGTATGGAATAATGTCACCTTGCTGATAAGTGGCACCACTGGCTATAAACCCAGGTCTGCCTGATAGTAGAGCCCCTGGGGAAAGGCCTCCTGCTCCCCAGAAGTCTTTGGGGAGCCTGGAGGCAGATGGGTTTTGTCCATCTGGGATGTGGATTCAACACACATCCCCGCTTCTGAGCCCCCAGATGGCCCTGAGTGGCGGGATAGAGGGCTTAACTGACCTTATGGAGAACTTCCTGGGTTTCGCTGACCCCTCGCTCTCCTACCCAATTCTCACTGCCCATTCATCCACCTCCCAGGTCCACTCACTGCCCAGGACAGCTCCTTCTGTGAACTGGACACACTTCCCACCCCTACAGTGCCGGCTCAGACCAAGTCATTGTGGCTTCCAAGCCCAAGAACACACTCCCGGACTTGATGAAGCTCCCCAAGTGCCTTAAGACCCTGCATGTGACCCCCTGGATTCAGAAACCACACCGTGCTCAGACCCTGAGGCCCTCACCCCCCAGCTCTGTGTGTCCCCCAGTGTGTCCACTCCCTCAGCCCCATACTGACTGGCTAGCAGGCCAGGCGGCCTTGAAGTCAGACTGGCTGACCTCACATCCTGGCTGATCTCCCTCCAAGTTACTTAACTTCCGGAAGACTGGGCTGCCACTGCTGGTCCTTACCTCACAGCCTCGCCAGAAAGGTGTGAGCCCGATCTTGCCCATGGTGTACCACACTCTGCAGCAGTGCCTGTGGATAATACCAAGTCCACCACTGTGCTGGCTTCCTTTGTGGCCATTGCCTCTTCCATCTGCTACCCCCCCCCCCCCCGAGTCCACCAGCTCCCAGAGTGAGTTTCTATGAGCTCTGGTCCACAAACCCTGCTAGTTCCTCTCACCCTCTTCCTTTATCCTTGCCCCAAGTCAGGTGGGTCTCATCACCTTCCAACTCGCCCCCCCAAGTCCTCCCAGCTTACCTTGGCTCCTACCCTTCGTCGCCCCCAAGCTCTTCCTGAACGCTGGGCGCTGCTGACTGCTGACCTCCCACCCAGGCCTGGGTATGCTGACTTGGCCCCTATCTTGCAGGCTCTCCAGGTGGCCCGGCAGTTCCTGCTGCAGCAGGCCTCAGGCCTGAGCTCCCCTGGGAACAATGAGAGCAAGCAGTCGGCCTCTGCTGTGCAGGTGAGGAGGAGGGCCCTTGGCTGGCATTGGGCTGGGGCCAGGTCCCCGGTCAGAAGGGTGGGCCTGGCACCAGGGGAGGAAACAGCCCAGTTGCTCTTGCCAGTCCCCACTGCCAGAGAGTGGGCAGTTTTCCAGAAGGAAACACAGTGGTGCAGGCAGGGAGCCAAGGAGCTTCCACTTCTCCCATCTTCATTTGATGGCTCTGCCTTGCCCTGCTTGGCTTTTGTCTCTACCTGCTGGGCTCAGTCTCTGTACCTACCTGCCTGCCTACCGGGGCCTCCCTAGCTCTTCCCTCAGGGTCTCTCCCCTCAAGCTCGCTCCAAGCTTGTGTTTCTCCACCTCTTTGGGTCACCCTGCCTGGCCCTCTGTTCTCCTTCCAGACCCTCAGCTCTCGTGGATGCTGTGAGGTCACCGCCTCACCCCACCTTACCTCTCCCCGCCAACTCTCTAGGCTCCCCAGCTTCCTGTCTCTTGCTGTCTCTCTGTCTCTTTTGTTTTCCTTTGCACAATCTGCCCTTTTTCCCCCTCTCCCTTCCCCCAGCTTGCCGGCCCATCTGGCTGTCTGGGGGAGGGGAGATCTGTGGGGGGTGGGGGGGGTAAGCCAGGCCTTCTGTTTACCTTTTGTGTCACAAAGAACTTGGGAGAATTGCAGTCTGAGTCAGGGTTGGGTCACAACTGGGGCAGCCTACTCCCCTCCCCCTCTACAGCCAAGCTTCCTTACGTCCCCCCACACCTCCCTGCAGCAGCCTGGGAGGCTCAGAATTGGGGAGAGGATTAAGCCAGGCTTTGAAAGGAAGTTTATCTAAGGGAGGAAGGGTGGGCTAGACCCCGGCCAGAAGCTGGGGGGGCTGACCGGGGCAGGTGCTAAGGAATGGAGGGAAGTGGGGAGGAGAGTAGGAATGAGGGTGCTGGGAGAAGGACCCAGAGTTGGACTTCATCCTGAAGTGGGGGGTGGAGGGCGGTGACCCCTGTGCTCTGACTCTGCACAATATCTGGGTTTTACTTAAAACAAGCCCAGATTCCGAAAGTCATTGAAAAGTTCAAGGTGCCTTAGCAGTAAGAAGTCTTCTCTTAAAAGTCTTGAACCTAATGATTCACAGTCCCCAACAGTGGGACAAAGAGGGGTAGTGACCTGGGTGGCAGAGGGAAGGACAAAATCTGGAAAGTGAAGAATTGTGAGAAGAGACGCTCTCACACTAGGATGTTGGCAGTTTCTCGTGTCTGTGGCTTGACTGGGTCTCTGACCAGAGACCCGCGCATACACCCCCTGGGTCTGAAATAGCCCTTGGGCTGCTGCTGTTTTCTTTCCACCCAGCTTTCTGAGAACAGCGTGGGATAGACGGGGAAGCAGAAATGGCCCCCCAAACCTGGAAAGGCCTGCTGATCCAAGGCAAAAGGGAAGAAGCTTATTGGTGGCCGTAGGGGTCAGGTCAGGCACCAAGAAGGATTTTGCAGTTGGGCATGAGAGCTAGGAGATGGCACAGCAGTGAGGCTGTGGACTCTTGCTGGGAGATCCTGTCCCTCCAAACCCAAGAAGTCTCTAGATAACATAAAATGAGAGAAGTTTTGGTCCAAGGGGTAGATAAAATGACCCTTTTCTCGGGTCTTCTCTCTCCTCACTTCTTCACTTCCCAATAAATTCACACTTCCATTCATTCAACAGATACTTAGCAGTAGCTCTTATGGAACTAAATTCGCAGAGTGTTTACCATGGGGCTTACACAAAGTGCTTTGCAGGTATCATCTCATTTGATCCTCACAATCCCATAGGATAGATGCTGTTACTAGTACCATCTTGCAGATGAGCAAGTTGAGGCCCAGAGAAGTTAACTTGTGCAAAGCCACACAGCTAATGAGGCGAGCCAGGCTCGGGCACCAAACAGCGAGCTCCGGAAGGCACACAGGCCACCCTGTAACACGGCCCGTGCGCTTAGCACAGTAGTGAACACCAGCAGCCCCTGGGTTCAGAGCCCCAGCTAGAGGTTGTCAGCCTCCCGGTGATGGCCTTCTCTGGTCTCTGTCTAAACTCCCCCTGGAGCCCCAGTTGTGGATCTTCATCTCCAGCCCTAGATGTGTTTATTGCCTCACATCCCCGCCCCATCATTCAAGCTTAAAATCTCCAGAGAGGTGAGACTTCTGTTGCCAAGTGGGCTCCAGGGCCTAGAAAATCCCTTTCTGTAAATCGTAGGCTGACAGGGATGGGGAGCGAGGCCTGGGTTCCTCCCCTGCCCCGTGGAAAAGTGTTCACTTGAGTGAACTTGAGTGAAAGGGCAGGCAGCAAGACGAAAGGAAGCCCCTTTCCCTGTGGCAACCAGAGGGTGCGGGTCTGCTCACCCAGCTTGAGGCAGAGTTGCCATGCCACCCACCCCCAGCTATGCTCACCAGCCTTGTCCTAGAGCCAACATCAGAAGAGTCTGTAAAACCACACTAGACCTCCAGCCGCAGCCCAGAGGTTGCCTGCTTTGTGCCCTGGCCGGGCGAGGGCCAGCCTAGAAGGCAGTGCAGGTGGCTGGCAGTTTGGACAGTGGGACTGGGATGAGGCCTCTTAGCTCTGGCCACCTCTGTCTTACTTCGGCGCCCTTCAGGCCTACCATTCTGGTATTTCTAGAAGTTCTTCTTAGTATCTTGCCACTATCTCTCTGCTTCAACTTCAGCCCAGAACTAGTCTGAGGACTTTCTTCTGATCATTTGTGAAGGAATTTAACCTTCAACATGTATTAGCCAGATTCCCCACTCACCCAGGGACCCCAAGCAACATAATGAAGAAGTTGAGTTTGGGTCCTCGATTCTGGCACCCAGTTGCATCCATCACAACCCCCAGCCCCCCTAGTAAGCTTCCTCCCTGTCAGACCAGCACCCCGCATGGGTGGGTGGGGGTCCTGAAGGAGGGACTAGGGGCAGCTGTGGGCATTCGGCCCCAGACTTACACTGCCAGGTCTTTAGGAAGTACTTCGCTGCTCAGGCTGCTCTCCAGGCACTGACTCACGGGCCTTGCTGAGCCAGCTGGCCAATGGTGCCCATCCTAGTATATCCTAGCCTAGTGGGGGTGATGTGGGACTCCCACTCCATTCTCCAGGATGGCATAGGGTCGGGGGAGGGAGAGGACAGGGCCCACCAGCTCAGGAGATCAGCATATGCAGCCACCTCACTGACCATTCTTGACCCCATTGGCCTCCTTAGAGACAAATACACCTGGGCTAATCCATCCGTGTCTCCAAAGCTGCCTCTCCAGTAGCTCCTTGTCCAGTTGGCAAGTACCGTCGGGGCCAGGAGGCCTTCCAGGGCCATCTCTGTCATTCCCCTGTCTCCGAGTAGGAAAGCCCCAAGGAAGGAAAAGCCACATCCTTTCTTGCATGCCTCTCACAGTGACTCACTCCTGGTGCCTGGAAAATTCTTCCGGGTGTCTGATCTCAGTCTCCCAGCCTTGGGCCTGGCGCGTCTCTAGTTCAGTTCCCTCCACGAAGTGGGGGGTGGTCTGCTGCCGTGAGCTAAGTGAACTGGTGGGCATTGCCCCAGTGAGTGAAGGTGCAATAGTGGAGGAGGAAGAGGAAATCATAATAAAAAAGTGGGGAAAGGAAATCCAGAATGTTTTAAAATGTGACATTTCTCTACATCTGTATAGAATTTCAGGGCATACAAATCGCTTCCCATTGTGTCGCTTCCCATTGTGTCTTGGAAGGCAAGATAGACTTCCCAAGCCCTCAGTTTTCTCCTCTATGAAACGATGCCCCCCTCCAGGGCAGCAGGGAAGATTCAGGAGGATATCCATGAAGCCATGTCTGGCATGTGATTGGCAGTCAACAACATCCTCTTGTGTAGTCCCGTGAAGCGGGGAGGGCAGGTAGTCTGAACCCCAGTTAGCAGATGGGGAACGTGAAGTTGCTGATTTCAAATAATAGTCAACGTCAGAGGCAAGAATCTAGGTCATCCGACTCAAATACAGGCTCAGCCCCACCATGCTAGGTTCCCAGCAGGAGGAGAGAAGGGAGAATGGATCAGCCACCCACCCACCTGCCTCTGGGGCCTGCACAGCTCTGCAAGAGGCATGGCTGGTGCCTCTGTCTGCCCCCAACCCTAGGCCTCTCCTAGAGTGAGGACCTGGCTTTCCAGAGCCTTCCTTAGGCAGACCTAGCCGTAGAAGGCAGTTGACCTTCAGGGACGCCGGCCTCCCCCACCTTCAGCCCCCTGGGTGATTTAGTTTCCGCACACTCTCCTGGTTCCTTCTCAAGACCTGCTCTTGCGATGAGGGAAGCGTGTGAGCCGTGGAAGCACCGAAACCTGTGGTGTACACGGGCCCAGGTTTCAGTCCCAGCCCTGCCACTTACAGCTCCTCCTTAGAGGCCCCTTCATTCACCCAGCTTTGCCACGTCTGAACAGCTGGCTCCCCCAGGGAAGTTTGCAGCGAGATGGCTGGGCTGCCACAGGAAAGCGAGGACTGGGCTCACCCTTCATGCCACTCACCTGGAGGAGGTTGGGGTGTGGGGCTTCCCCGTGCCCTGAACCCATTGCACTTCCGTGGTTGCTCTCTGTGGGGTGATTCCCTAATTGGTAGCTTAAGACAATCCTGCCCCTGCCAGGGATCCGGAAGGCAACCAATTCCTCCCCGGCTCAGGCTCCACCGGGGGACCTAACCTGTTACATCCTGCCCAGAACAAGTCCCTGCAGGACTCACCTGCCTCTCTTCCTTGGGGCTGGCACAGGGGCTGCCTCTGATCTGCTGGGGAAGGCATTTCCGGGCTCAGGGGAGTGAAGGACTGTAGTCAGTGTCTGCTGTGTGCTGGGCACTGTGCTTGGGCTTGGGGGTGAGAGGGGTGATGAGAAAAGACTTCACGTGATTTCAGTAGCAGGTATCCCCATCGGGGCCTGTCCCGCTTACACGAGGGAAGATAGTCTTGCAACTTCCTTGCCTGTGACTGCACAGGCCTGAGGGATTCAGAGAAGGCGGGGCTGGGAAAGGAACAATATGACTGCTTTCCCCTGAACCTTTGACCTGTAGCTAGATTCACTAGTCTTACCCGGGCAGAAAGCTGCTCTACTTTGAGAATTCTGCAGGTTGCAGCTGGAAGAAGCCATCTCTTGTAGTCCAGCTAATCCCCACTTTACAGTCAAGGAAACTGATACCCAGAGAAGGCAAGTGACTTGCTGGAGGACACACAAACACACCCGCGCACACACAAACACCACACTTTGAATGGCACCAGCAGCATCTCCTGACCCTCAGCCATCTGACTGGTATGCCGTGTGTGCCACTAACAGGTGTATCGATGTGACGGGTGTGAGCAGAGACAAAGTCCAGGTGGGCCTGCCGTGCGGGCCCCTGTTGAGTCCTCCCCTAGGCTTGCAGACTCCCCTCCCGGCATTGTAGTTGGTGTTTGCAGAATAGGCCGGGAAAGGCCCAGTGCGGCCCTCTGCAGATGGGAGGCCCCACCACAGCACTGACGTCTGCGCAGCGTCGCTCGCTCGGGTCCCATCTCCCTGCGCCGAGGGGTAGCACATCCACAGTAACGCGGCAGGCTGTGCTCTAAGTGTGAGCTCTGAGAACCTCAAGCGGCAGGCGCCGTGGCTACTGCTGTTTCAGAGACCAACGTCCAGAATCGGGAGGAGAGTCACTTGTCCAAAGCTAACGGGTGGCGCATCAGAGCTGAACCCAGGCAGTGGCGCTCCTGTGTCGGGCTTTGGGCGCGGCCCTCCCCGAGGAGCTGGCTAACGCCCTCTCCCACAGGTGCCAGTGTCGGTGGCCATGATGTCCCCGCAGATGCTTACTCCCCAGCAGATGCAGCAGATCCTGTCACCCCCCCAGCTGCAGGCCTTGCTCCAGCAACAGCAGGCACTCATGCTCCAGCAGGTGAGTCTGGCCGCAGGGCTGCTGGGAAGTGAGGGGGGAGGGGCCCGGTAGGCACTGGCCTCCCACCTCCCACCCTGTTTACTGCCAACATCACCCAGACCCAAGGCCAAGGCCTGGCAGCAGCCAGAGCCTCTGCTTAGACTGGCCTCATCTGCATTCCTCCAGGGCAGCCAGGGTGGGGTCAGAGGCCAGGCCTCTCCCATAGGAACCCCCCCCCCATGGGGGAGGGCATGCTGACCCCACCACTACTTCCAGAACCCCAAGCAAGTGCACAGGACTGTAACATCCTGGCACCTTGTCCTGAATGGGAACCACCTCCCCAAGAGGCCCAGAACTGTAGGAGGAAACCCCCCTCCTCCTGCTCCCCAGACCCTGCCGGGGACCCCCTTTTAGAGCAGAGATGTCCCTACCAGCCCACTCTTGCCTCCAGGAGCCCAGTCGTGACAGGGTGGCAGTGGTTCATTCTGGGGCTACTGGCCCCAGAATAAGCCACTCCCGCCCCTGCCGTCCCCCACTCCCTTCAGCTGCAGGAATATTACAAGAAGCAGCAAGAGCAGCTCCACTTACAGCTCCTCACCCAACAGCAGGCTGGGAAGCAGCAACCCAAAGAGGTAAGGGTCCGGCAGGTCTGGGGATGACCCCCCAAGAAGCCCGGCCCCACAGCTTACAGGCCAGAGAGAACTGCCTGTGGGAAGAGTAGAAAAATGAGGACAGGGTAAGGGAGGGCACCCATCAGGGTGGGGAGAGGGGGTGGGCTCACGGCGTCATCTTGCCTCATCCCACCCACTACTCTCCTGCCTCCTGTCTGGATTACAGGCCCTGGGACCCAGGCAGAGCCCTGTGTGCCTCTGTGTCTAGTGTCTACGTGGGTGCCAGAGGGCACCCCTCTCCCGCTCCCTGTCTTGGTGACCCAGCCCCTCAGCCCTCCGCTCTGGTCCGGAGAGTTTCCCTCAGCAAACCACACACACCCCGCAGCCCCGCCCCAGCCTGCCCTTTCCTGTAACAGCCTGCCCAGCCCCTCCAGCTGTCCCCCAGTGTGCTCAGAGCTCCCCAGCCTGCAAGCCTTCCCCGAGCCTTCCCCGGGGGCCACAGGGCCTCCTGAGCTCCTGTTCAGCTCAGCCCCACCCTGCGTCCAGACAAGGATCTCCTTCCTGCTAGCCCAGTGGCAGCCAAGTTCTGAGTTACCTCTTCCCAGAAGGCTGCCCTGCAGACCCAGTCTCCCCCTCAGTGGCCTTACGATTGCTGTATTACCTCTAGGGGGGCGTTGAATCGCCACCCCCCTCGCCCCCACCCCACCCTCCAGGCAGGCAGGCAGGCAGAGGCATCTCTGCCTCCCAGGCACCCAGGACGTGCTTGACTCCCAGAGCTCAGAAGAGACTTGCTGACAGCCTGACTTGTCAGTGCCTGTGTGAAGAACTCAATCTGGGGGAGACTGACCCAGAGCGGGAGTGAGCGAGTGCAGCCGGGGCAGCGGCCTGACGGGTCTCCCCGAGCTTGGCCCCCATCACCCGCCGAGGCTGATGGTCTTTTCCAAGTCCATCGGACTCCTCATTCTCTGTATCTAAGGAGCAGAAGAGGAGAGGAGCTGGAGGGGAGGTGGCCCCTCCTCGGAGAAGGGGGGCACCCCGGGCATGTGGGAAGGGTGCCCGCCAGGCGGGAGTGGCCCCCAGAGGCTGACAGGCTCATCGATCATCCTGATGAGCGCCCCCCCAGGCGTGCGCACAGCTGCGGTGCGGGAGCTGAGGAGCGGAAGGAGGGAGGCGGGAGCAGGCTGGCGTCGTGCTGCGTGTCTGGGGCCGGCTGTGTGTGAGTGCGCGCGTCCGTGCGCGCGCCCGTGCGTGCGTGCGTGCGTGTGTTTACTGCGAGGAGGCATGCAGCCCTATGGAAGCTGGGCCGGGAGCAGAGAAGCCACAGCTGCAGACGCAGCAACGACAGCCCCAGGGACTGAGAGGCCGTGGGAGGGGGTGGCCGCAGGGTGGGGGCCAGATGGCACGCCTGAGGCTGACGGCACCCCTCTCTGCCCGCCCCCTCGGGCCCCCCACCAGGCACTGGGGAACAAGCAGCTGGCCTTCCAGCAGCAGCTCCTGCAAATGCAACAGTTGCAGCAACAGCATCTGCTCAACCTGCAGAGACAAGGGCTGGTCAGCCTGCAGCCCAACCAAGCCTCCGGGCCTCTCCAGACCCTCCCGCAAGGTGAGTGGCCGTCCTCTCCGCCTGGGGGTAAGGTGGGGAGGCCCCGTGGGTGCGTGCTCCGGGCCCTGCCAGCCCCCTGCCTCCCTCTCCCACAGCAGCCGTGTGCCCGACCGACCTGCCCCAGCTGTGGAAGGGCGAGGGTGCCCCTGGGCAGCCTGCGGAGGACAACGTCAAGCAGGAGGGGCTGGACCTCACTGGCACGGCCACCACCGCTACCTCGTTTGCCGCCCCCCCCAAAGTCTCACCTCCCCTCTCCCACCACACCCTGCCCAACGGACAGCCCACTGTGCTCACACCTCGGAGAGACAGGTATAAGTAAGCCCAGGGTGGGAAAGGGCCCTGCACACTGGCCACGGGCAGACCTGGACCCCAAGGGACAGCACCGTGGTGGGAGCCAAAAGGAGGGTGTTGCTCAGGGACCCAGCAGTCCGCCTCCTCGGAGTACGCAACATTGTTTGGCCATCAGGAAATCCTTATTAGAGTTTTAAAAAGAAGAAGGAAAAAAAAAAACCCACTATCAGCAGGGGAGCTGGGGCTGAGCTGGACCCAGGGCCACTGCAGGCTTCAGGGGCTCTGACCGCCACCTCCCGCCTGCCCTGCCAGCTCTTCCCACGAGGAGGCGCCTGGCTCCCACCCCCTCTACGGACACGGAGAGTGCAAGTGGCCGGGCTGTGAGACCCTGTGTGAGGACCTGGGCCAGTTCATCAAGTAGGTGTCTGCCACTCTCCTCTCCCTTAATACCCTGCTGCGGGGCTCCTCACCCCCAGCCTGCCACCCAGTCTGCCCCTTCTTGACCTTCAGCCGCTGGCTTGCCCCCCATTCTCACCCCAGGAGGGCCTAGTCCTTTCTCTCTTACCCCCC